AACACTTTCTATTTTTGCACCAGTTTAAATATTTTTCAAAAAAAATACCTCAACATACTAGTAAGTCGTATCAGTTATCAATTATATTACATCATTTCAATTCGTTTACAAGACATATCAATTCAAATTTTTATTTCACGTTTTTATAAGAAACTCTTGTCAATTTCCTTGTCATCTTTGATGGTGTGAAATCTTTTACAATATTAATTCACACGGTGTGAATCTTTCACAGCATTGAGTTTCACTCAGTGTGAAATGGTTCAAGATGAAAGATTTCCAACTTGTAAGAATTATGAATAGTTCAATAAAATTTCAATTTATCAAAAATTAATAATCATTCTGCAACGTCATTGGAGACACTTTTTGAGACGTCATTGAGGACGCTTTTTTTGACGTCTTAATGACTCTCAAATTGACACCGTCAAAATGACGAAAAAAAACGTCATTTTGACGTCCACAACACCGTCCCAATGACACCTTAACAAGCATAAACAAAGGCGTCATTCATGACTATAAAATCGTCAAAACATGCGTCAACAAAAATGAGCGGGTAGTGGGCAAACAAAATGAAAATATTTATCACTCGCTCGCTTACTTCTTTGAATTCTAATATTTTATGATCTTAAACTAATTACCATTCAGATTGACTAAAATGGCGCCAAAAATAACTACGATAAAAATAATTTAAAAAAATGAAAAAGCACTTTGCTTCGCCTCTTCATCACGAATACAATTTTCATGTTGAGGAATCGCTCGGAGAGGATGAAACAACCATTAGATTGGCTCGGGAGGGTGGCGATGAGCTGTCGTTTTATTTGGAGGAAAATATTTTGGGAGTGCTGATTCCTGCTTTTCAATCCTTATTAAAGGAGTATTCAACAGTTGATCCGAAATCGGAAGAGGAACAAGAATATGAAAAATTAAAGAGTACTATCTACTCAAAGATCGATCCGATTAATTGGATTGCCATGTATCTTATTAGAAATAATCCAAAACATTCGAAAAATTTGGAAAATAATCCATACAGTAAATTATTAAAGGAACACATCGAGAAAATAAGACCAGAAATTATGAAGAATAGAGAAGGAAAATCAGA